CTTTGCACAGAAGAAAAATTTTAATTCGGATAACCGAATTAAAATTTTTGAATGGAGACCAGATGAAAAACTCAATGACGAGAAATAATATATCTGTTACTGAAAATATTCGTCGCAACATTCAGCTACATTAAAATTCGGTTGAAATAACTGAAAACAAAATTGGCTGAATAAGAACCTCTTATAGAATCTTTCTGTTCCTATACAACCGAGTTTTTCATTTAGTCCCAAGTAACAGAAAATTCAGTTACACTAACGAAGTTATTTTTTCCATATATATTAACTTGGTTTACCTCGCGTGAAATCTTTTAAAGATACCAGCGGTATAGTACGGATGCGAACGGGTAAAGTAAAGAAATTAAGAAAACTCGTTAGAGATAAACCGTTGCTCACGCAATATTTGAGATAATCGAGCAGTGCCCGTTGATTCCTAGTACTGCCTCGACCTTGCAAGGAAAATTAATCAGTTCCTTGAGTATACCGAATGCAGATCCAGGAACACAGAATTCTTTCGCGGATAGTATCTAACGGATCTCGCAAGCTAGAAATAGATATGCCATGGAAAACGTTCGCGAATCATAACGCGTGGAATCCGCGCGCGCGTGGAGTATCGTGTTTCATGGTGAAGACGACATTATAAGAGAAAATACGCGCTCATAATATGCAGTGACGACAAAACGCGCTGGACAGAGTATTATTAAGGACCAAGGCGCAAGGATTTATAGGGGACGTCTCGAAAGTCGCGCACTTTCCCTAAGAATATCGCATGAATACAAAGTAGACCAGAACGACTGCTACGATCAATAACGTATTATAATCAACCGAATTAGCATATAATAGTTTTAATAATTAATACTTAATTATTATCGTCGCGTTAATTATTATATGCGCGGATGGTTCTCTTTTTCATAAATTATTTATGCAATATCTAGAGACTGCCACATTATTATATCGGGGAGGCTTTCGCGCGAGTTGAACGCAATAATATCGAGAGAAGATGTTTTGTATCGCACGTATGGAAAAGTACACCGGGTGTTCGCGGAGTCATCGCAGCCGTGTACAATCTTCGGTTATAATTAGAAGACATGTGGTAGACATAAGGAAGATAATCCTACAATTTTATATATTGTCGTTGCATAACGGAGAATCCGAAAACATATGCGAATACAACACTCGTGTCTAACGTGTCGCTCGTGATTCTTAGCACATTGCGCTCGTACTACTGATTTTCTGCGCGAAAATGTCCACAAGAATTATTTCGCGTCCAACACGATATGATTGTGACTAACGGATACGGTGTACGACAACAGTTTATCGTCGAATAACATACGGCAGCGCGGGTAGAAGAAAATACGATGCTATCGGGCGACGTAATGTCCAAACTATGCGCGCCTAAAAATCTAGTTGACTTTTATTTTGATCCGTTGTCGAATTCTTCGGCAAAATAAAGCACCGACTGTGTGGCGAGTGCCAGGCTCGAAATAACACTTTGTATCTTTCTTATCGTTGAACGAATAAAAAGATAATGAATCGTTCACCAATGGGAGCTCGACAAAAGTGAATGTCTAAGAATTGTCAACATGCTTTTCTCAAATTCTTTAAAGAAAAAAATATTCCTTTAGTAAGAATTGTGCCGGAGAGATTACTCTTTTATATTTTTTCACGTTTCGATATTATTAATATCGAATATATTCGTAACTGAATTCCAGATTTAAAACAATGCTCCGAATAAAATGTATTGAACAATCTATCTAAAAAGTTCAACGTGTCATCTATTCGTATCTATTTAACTCGCGGGAACTTTTTAATTTTTAATCATCATAAAAAATAGTCGCAGATTTTTAATTAATTCCAAAATATTTTCCGTATGTAATTTCATGCCCAAAGTTCTCAATTAATTCTAGAGTGATTGAATTCTCAATGCTGCACTGAGAGAAAAATGTATGATATTTGGAACTATAATGACATAGTAAAAAGATTATAGTTATATAATTATAAGATTATAAGATTATAAAATTATAGGAATATAATTTTTATAGTAAATATTACCATAATATTTGTTACCATTATATTTACAATATAAGCATAGTATAACTGACCCGTGTAAAATTTTTACCAAGAATTATAATTATTTGAAATAAAAAATATAGTAAGGTAGCAAATATTGAATTAAGAGAAATTAACTATTTTATATAGTCAATACAATTGGAATATTTGGCAAATATAGGTACATGTAACTATATTCCCAAAAGGTGCTTTACCATATATATAGAGTAATAAAATGGTGACTATAAGTCTGTGTTCATTCTACTATATCCTCATGTTTAGATGAACTATAAATATATGTTTGAGGCCAAAACGAACTATAAAATATAGTAAGATTATAGTTATTCCAATTATTTTTTTTCTCAGTATGCTTCGACATAATTGAAAGCAATTTTTAAAATCGAATAATTGAATCCTCTTCGACGAGCTCGAATTGCAAATGCAAGAAACACGCGAGTTTTCGGCTTTATGCCCCTATGCACCCGCTACCGTTATATTAAGCACTACCCTTACTTCCAGACTTAACGAATCCGGATACGGACTTCTCAGAATCTTACGTCGGCCTGAGATACGCGTGTCGGGCGACGTTGAAAGGGCCGCAAAGACGAGCTCGAGACGCATATGATGCGATAATGCGGCGTTAAAACGCGAGGTGCTTCAGCGTGAAACGTAATTACACGTTATGTGGTGAAACGTGATTCATTTGTGTACCCGTGACACGCGTAATATGGCTAATTCAACTTTATGGATTCGGGGTGTCTCGGAAATGATAAGAGAGAAAAGAAATTTTCCAATTGTCCAGACATTTCCGCTAAAATTTTCTTTTTCAAGATGGAATTTAAGTGTTTTTAGGTGCAAATTTAGGATAAATCAATAATATAAATCGTATATTCAAAATAAAAGCAAAAATTGCAATCGAGAATTAAATAAAAAAAATATATAATAACATATAGTTATTATATATTTATATAATAAGTTTTCCTCGTTTGAATGAGAAATAAAGTTCAGACGCAAACATTGCTTGCATGCAGCATTATAAGCAAACGATGAAAAGGGCGCGCCAATTGCCATCATCTGGCAAGATGGTGGATGTAGTAAGTAATCAATACTGGTTATATAGGTTGGATGCAGCAGCAGCCGCATGGACCAAAACATGCACGCGCTTCAACTTTTAATAGCCGCTATAAATAGTGTACTATCAAAAATGTATTGAGCCAATCGAACTTTCAGTCCGTTAACTCCTTTAAATCGCAAGAAAAAGGGACTTTACATGCACTGAAAAATACATAGAAAAAATATAATAACGAAACAAAAACAAAAGATGTAAAATTTTTGACAGTGTTCACAATCGTTGTGGCTAATGTCGATTAATATCAGCTAATCATTTCAATTAGGACGCGGTAATTTTATTGTAATGAGACGATGTTTATAATTTAGGATTTTTTTATTGGTTTATGATTGCATTATATCTTGGAATTTTTTACTCGTTTGTATAGTTAGCAACACCGATAATTATTCTTTACGTTTCGCCGCAATATCGAAATGTTTACCCCGCAATCAATGAGCTAAACAATATTTCTCTAAATGAGATAATTCAAATATTTACACTAAGTTACGATATATGAAGCTATTACGTAGTGTCCGGCGTGCGAAGTTTCCTCAATTAACGGTCTGTTAAACGAATTGACTGAACAGTTCAATAATTAGCTGCCTATTAATCTTGTAACTTTTAACGACAGTCTCGTTATCGTCATGTTCTCGTTGCGCATTTGCAGATGCGAATATTCACTGCAGATATTCGACGAGAAAAGGAATACTTTGTTCAATTTTACGATGCGTCTCAAATGAATAATTTTTAGCGCGAGGATTCTCTCTGTCTCTTATAGAAGGCAAAATCACAAAGAACATTGTTTAACATTATAATTGATGATACTGAATTTACATTTGATTCAAAATTATGTAACTCGATATCATTTTCGTACGATAATCGTGACTGAGATATTATCTTGTATGCATCTCTGAAAATATTGTTGTATAAATGTAAATCACACATTGTTACATACACAATATTTTACACGAATACATTCTTAATTGGCAGAAATATTGAGAATATAAAGACATAAAATGATAAAATGATCTTTATGTAATATTAAATAGTGTTTCCGTTGTGTGTCTATGTATGAATAACTATATAATTTATTATTATTTATTCATTATGCAACGTGGCGGAAGGTGTCTCTTCTCGGGTCATTGCGAAATACTCAAGCAATGTTTGATGAATGCATAAATAAACAAATCAATGCATCTTGTATATATGCGTTAAGCGACACAAGCTATTGAAATATTCTCGCTTTAATTTAGGAAAGAATCGTCACACTGTGTATTTGAAATATATCAAATTCTTCCATGCGATAATAACTGTGCATAGCTATATTATAGAAATATTAATTATTTTTGGAAATACGTCCCATTTATCTCGTTTAAATTAACGAGTTCGATGCATGATAGACTATTAATTTTTATATTAAGACCATGAAAATATATTATAATAGACGCCTATGCTAAATATCTTCCGCGTACACGCTCGACAAAGAATACGCGATTGAATACACGAGAACACTTTAAAAAAGGCAAGCGAGATTTCATTAACCTTTCGCGTTAGCATTAACTCTTTTAAAGCGGAAGTTACACATTCATTGTTTTGAATGCCGAAAATACGGGCCTTTGACGACTTATCGCAACATATCAAACGGCAAACATAGTCGTTTCAAAAAGTAATTTTTTAGTTAAAGAGACAAGCTCGTTAAGCTATAAAAAGTCGATAGTTTCAGAAGAATAAAAAGTTATTCTATATTTATTTACTTTATAAATAAACATACTTCCCACCCTTCCTTACTAACTATGACTAAGGGTTCAAGTAACTGACGCTCAACCAAGTCATACACGGTACTCACGTTCGAAAGGGACTTCTATAAGCACTGCTGCAAGCGCCGATTTCCTTTGACGAAGATGACACATTTTGGTACTGACTGACGTACTGGTAACTACCCAGTAGCATTTTGCGGTAATTATCTCTCTCTCTCAGCGACTATCGCGGAGCAACGACACGTGACATCCGTTCAAACTCCTTGGAAATTCCTTTGCTCGTTAACACTACAAACACGGTGTCCCTGCCTTGAAAAGTCCAGGAAACGCGATAAAAACAAAGCGTGTATAGCTCGATAAATGCGGAAAATGCAGTTTGTCTTTTCACGTTATAAAGTCCCGCAGTGTCGGCGATATCAGCCTCTCTATGTCTCATTAAGCACACGTGTACACGTGCACATGTGACAGTTTTACACGGGAGCACGATATTGCGCGAATGCGATCAGGTCCTCGCGAACGATGATTGTTATCCTCGAAGGTGCACTCACGTCTTTGCGACCTGGACGACGCGACATGGCCCGCGAACTGCGTTGGGGTCAAAGAGCTTGAGGAGAGAGAACGTCCGGGATTGTTCCTCTGGTTTCGAGGCGAGGGCGGCGTTAGCGCGAACGTACCATGCGTCTCCGCAGCTGGACCGATCAATGGAGATAACTCTCGCTGAAGATGACGCGCGTCAGATAATTCTATGGTCGTTATCGAATCTCGTGGCTCATCGAGTCGAGATCGCTCAACGAGTTCACAAGCGAGTCTCTCGTGATCTCCTAGCAGCGTAGCGCAGCAGCGTTCGCGCTAATCTCAACGTTAATTCGAACGATTTACGCTAATTTACATAACAAGGCTATATCGTTGATAACAGCAGTGCACTTATCACGATGTTTCGGGATAATCCGTCGATTTTTAGCTTTTTGTTACGTAGCCCTTCTGAGAAGGGTACAGTCAGTCTCTTTCTCGTCCACTACGAGCTCCGTTGTCTCCGGACGACGACGTTTCGCGAACCGAGCAAGCGCAAAATGCGGCCTCGTCGCTGTGAATGCAAGTCGTCGCGCGCGCACAACCCGTGTCGGGTTTAGTTTGTTTATTTGAGAGATAAATGCTCTGACGCAGCGCGGAATCACGTCCTGTTCTTGGATACGATCCCTGTGTATCGCACGACGCACCGAAGACTACTGACGACAGACGGCAACACGAGTCGCACAGAAATAGAAGGGTGGGAGGGACGGGGCAAAGAGGAGCCGAGATGCAAGGGATGCGCACTGTGCTCGCCGGAGCGCGGTCTGAACGCACAGAGGACGTCAATAATGACGCCTGCTCCAGTTCCGGTTTAGGAAAAGGGTTCTTTTTATCGGTTAATTCCATATCTATATCGATGTTTTCATCTTCCAACAACCTTAAAGTTCATTTTTCGCTTATCTCTAAATACCTACTTTTTATCAAAAGTAGGTGCGGCTTTAAGTCAGAATGCGAGGGTGCAGATAAGATTTGAAATAACACGAATGTGTGCTTGGACACATACACAATGAGAGAAAAATTTAAGTTATAATTGAAAGAACGTCATTGAGACCACACAGGTTTATTTAATAACACAAATTAATAACACAAATTTAATAACACAAATTATTAGATCGAAAGAGAAGTGATTGGTCATAAAAAAAGTAAAAGAGAAAGATGAAAGAAGTTCATACTAATATATGCTCTAAGACTTATTGTTATCAATTTATAGAACTTTGAAATTAAAAAATAAAAATTTCACTTGTTTTCTAATTCCTTTAAATAACTTGGAAATCTCAATCAATTTTTTCAGTTAAAATCTATGGATTAATTCAAATTTTGATATACAAATTACTTTGATTGTCACGAATTTCTCTAAAGTATTTAACACGTAGATTACGATTATGAAGTTGTAAATCTTAGGATATATGTAATGTGAATTTTTTAACTTTTTTTTTTCTTTTCATCTTTTGTGAACTTGAATATGAATCACCCTGTATACTATATATACACACACATATATAGTTACATTTTATATACAATTATATATATTTGGTATATTTTGCTTTAAATCGATAGGTAAACAAAGATTCCTAACATTTGCGAAAAAGTATGCGTCTTCCGAATATTTTGCTGCTTTGCTCACTCTATCAACGGACGTGTAAATCAGTTCGCGTCATACTTAACACGCTATATGGCCGGATCAAAGAACGAAAAGGAAAAAGGGACAACATGAAGGCAATGTGCGTATATATTGGTAAAAGGGGAGAAACGTGAAGAAGAGTGAAGAAGAGAGGAGATGCAGAGAGGAGATACGGAGGTCAGGCTGGCGGTGAATGACAGAGGCAGAAACGAGAAACACGGAGAATGGCAAAAACACGAAAAGAATTAAACGTTGATCGGCGATTCAGCGCTTCTCAATCGATCGATTAGCACCGCGACGATTTGCTCAGAGTAAGAACGTTAAATTACTAAATTTAGGAGATATGTTCTGTATCGAATTTTATGAAAGAACGTGAGTTAAGTTTGTCGCGCATGCTCAATATTTCTTTAGATGTTTTTCTCGCTATATAATCGAGCAAAAATATTGTTTGTGCTCCAAATTAATGTAACGAACTAAATTGACAGTTACTGCGATACGTGCAAGAGATGACCTTTAACCGCGGAGAAAGATAACTATTTGCGTTAGTGCATAAATATGCGATTTATTGTGGAATATGTATTGCGAAAATATGTGATATAATAATGTACCTCGCGATGTCATTTACATTCTCAATTCTGCTTTGTGCTTTTTATTTTTGTTTTTAGAAAAAAATTATATTGTCCTCTAGGTGTTTATTCATTTAGAATAATGTTAGTTTGTATTATGTTGTTATTGTGTTAAAAAGCATGCAATTAAACCGCTAAATAAAACCGGGAGATTACAATTATTTCATTATACATTATTTTCCAATGTTTCAATCACAAAGAAGAAATTGTGGAAATTTATCAAATAAAATATATATACGAATATCAGCAAGAAAATTTATACATGCAACACACAAAACCAACACAATGTCCAAAATCAAGTCATAAGAAGTCTTTAAAACATCTTTAAGACAAGTTTATAAGATATTGTCTTAAAGATGTCTTAAAGACGTTCTAAAGACATCTTATAACTTGATTTTGGATATTTGTGCTGTCTGGGAACTAACACAAGCTTGTATACGACGCACTTTTATTTCATGAAATCTATTAATAGAGCGCCCTATTCGTCGTGACATTGACGGAGGAAATATCTGAAACGCGTAGTTATTACTAAAAAGGTATTCGACACTCTGTTGATAAAGTCACTTCCGACAATACCTTTATCTTTATACATAGCAACAAAAAGTGATATTTTTCGTACCAAAGTAAACAAGAAAATGACACAATGATCCGAAAACAACAATAAACTCGTTGACATCAACAAAATACAGAACCAATGTGTTCAAACAGCATAAAAACAAAAGGTGCCTGCATGTATATATATGTATATATATGGTATGGTTGGGAGATTTATAATCGTATATCTAACATTCACGAATGTTCACGACGATTCGTAATGTATACTCTTTATTTCTATTGACAATATGTTTATTAACGTATATACGTTTATTAACGTACGATGCAGGTTCAACGACAGAATGCGCGTCTATTTATATTTACGAACGTGTGTGGGAGGTCGTCCAGCATATCATGATACATGGCAGCATCATTCCATGGGAGAAATAAGTATCAAAATGAGTTTACTTACATGTCCAACTCCATCGCGGATGCGAGCGTCTCCTCGAAATACTCCGCCATATTCCTTCAGCCTCGCTTTCTCACTGCATCCTAGAGCACTTCTTCGTCGAAACGTGAGGAAGACACATCAAGATACAACGAGTGATCCCGGCACTTGCGTCGTTACTTTTCAAAAGAATGCTTCTCGACACGACCGTCGCTGCGCGCCAAATGACGGCCATAGACTGCGTCACGCTCATGTTCATCAACTAAGAATGATCGCGCAGCCAACGGCAGAAAGAGGAACCTTTACAAGACATTTTGCTCACGTTAAGATGTCTTTACATGGAAGCATCGAACGTCGAGCGTTAAAGCGGTAGCTAATCAACGTGCTACTTTCCGCAAGAACTACAAGTATACTTCTGGAACCTGATACATTGATTGGCTAACGCTTTAACACTCGACGCTGGAACGCTCCCATGTATTGGCACCTTTACTTATGGCTTCTGCCCACAGGACGCGGCAAGCGTTGCCGCGTTCTGTGTGCAGGAGTTATTACACTCTTTACACTTTTGCACTTTTTAAAGCCCATTGCACATCAGAGGATCGAATGTGTACTTAAAACGGAGTGAAAATAACAAAAATGAGCAAATTTACTAGTATATTTGTAACTTCATTGGTCAATGCTTGGTAAATTTGCTCACTTTTGTAATTTTCACTTCGTTTCGAGATACACAATCGACTCCCAGGGAGCTTATTATGGTTCTGTGTGAGGGTGAAGTCCCATAGCACGTATTTTCGCGTAATGCGTAACCACGTAATCACATCTTTCTATTTTTTTAGAAATTCAAATAGAAATACTAAACATCGAAATCTATTGGTATTATGCACTCACGCGATACGCGGAAAATACATGCCATGAAACTCCAGCCTGAGAATTAAAAATGCGAAAAATGAGCGAATTTACTAAAATATTTATGAGTGCTTTCCATTTAATAACACAAGTCGACATAAGCATCATTCTGTCTTTGTTCCATATTCAATGAGTAACTAAGGCTGCGTTCGTTTTGGCGCTTACAACACTCTGAGCATTATTTCATTCTTGTTTCTATCAAATATTAAACAAGGACAAATGATGCTTACATCATTTGTTTTGCGCTATAAGCGTCAAAACAAACGATTAAACGAGAGAAAATATAATCTCACCTTGACGGATTCTAATTGATTTTTTTCTAAAATAACAATAACACGTTTCTCTTGATTTTTATATGTCCTACTTGCAGGTGTTTAGAAGCGGAATCGTATTCATGATCATCTTCATCGTGCCTTTTCCTCTTTTATTTCATTTTGACAAAGAATAAAAGTAAATGTGGCAAAACAATTTATTGCCTTTCACGTGTACACTCGTGGTCTAAAAGGTTTGTACACCGATTTTTTGTAAATTTCGGAACGCGTCTCAACTTTAGGAGAGAGACAACCACTGCTTGACACGCCAGCGCCGCCACTTATTACGAGAGCAGAAGAATGGCATATACCGTATATGCCATCTTTCTGCTCTCGTAATTAGTGGCGGCGCTGGCGTGTCAAGCAGTGGTTGTCTCTCTCTTGAAGTTGAGACGCGTTCCGAAATCTACAAAAAATCGGTACACAAACCTTTTAGACCACGAGTGTACATATGTGTCAAGATGTGTTGGCTCCTGCACACAGGACGCGGTAATACTTACCGCAAGGCGGAAGTTCGCGCGACAGTCAATCAATATGCTGCTTTCCGTAATAACCTTCTAGCTCTTATGGCTCCTGCACACAGGACGCGGTAATACTTACCGCAAGGCGGAAGTTCGCGCGACAGTCAATCAATATGCTGCTTTCCGTAATAACCTTCTAGCTCTTATGGCTCCTGCACACAGGACGCGGTAACGCTTGCCGCACGGCGGAAATCCGCGCGACAGTCAATCAATATGTTGTTTTTCCGTAAGAGCTAGAAGGTTATTACGGAAAGCAGCATATTGATTAGCTGTCGCGCGAATTTCCGCCGCACGGTAAGCATTACCGCGTCCTGTGTGCAGGAGCCATTACGGAAAAACAACATATTGATTGGCTGTCGCACGAACTTCCGCCGCGCGGCAAGCATTACCGCGTCCTGTGTGCAGGAGCCATTGAGCAATTAGGAAGCACCTTCTAGCAATATAGTAGTATTACATATATGACAAGCTTTTCGGATACGTTCATTAGTGACGAACAGAGAACCTAGAGATACTCTATTCGCCAACCAATAAACGTATCCGAAAAGTTTGTCGTACGACACATGTAATATCAGCTTTAAGTTCATCTTTAGATAGTCTATGGATGATTTCATTGGCTACAAAATATCTGAAAATAAACTTTTGTTTCTATTGTCTCTATTTATTGATAATAAATAAAAGTCTTTTTTTTCTAAAATAAAATTATATCATTAAAAAAAAGTCCGAGTACAATAAACTAATACAATTTCAATAAAATATATATGTGCAGGAATTAAATATAGTAAAGGATTTAGTAATGAAATTTAATGAGATTTAAAAAGCGGACGACATAAAGGTTCAATAAAAATTAGAAATGTCAAAAAAATAATTACGTTTTTTCTTCAAAGAATTGAGCATCGAATCATCAGTCAAACTTCATCTATTACTGCTTATCTTTGACTATATTTACAGGTAGCTACTGGAGTAAGTGTCATAGCAGTTTGTGATGAATATTTTTACTGGAACGAATGCGTCAATACGAGGATATGTCATAGTGATGCATTATTTTTGCAATTACTAATCTAAGTTGGAGTAAAATTGCAATCTACAGAGTGAAAAATTAAGGAAATTACTGTAAGTCTCTTGTTTCACAGCAATGAAATATTTGTCTAAGCCCATTAATACTTTCACACAGCATACGAAACTGGAACAAAACTTTTGGATTGAATAAATAATTTCTGCGTTGAGCACACGACGGAAATTTTCTTGATCGTGTAGTAGCCCTTATAACATTTGTCTGAAATGGAGGATGCACAAGAAGAGGTTAATAAAACACTTCTATATAGATTTTCTTGATTCATCAGAGAGAGACGCAAAGATTAAAATTACACAAATTTCAAAGTAAATTAAATTTTAATTCACCAACTTGTTTAAAATAATTTGCATATTATGATTTCAGCTGCAATTTGTAGTAGACGATGTAAGCAATATTATCAAAGAGGCAATTGAAGTATCAATAGGTGGTAATGCGTATCAACACAATAAAGTCAATCAATGGACTTCAAATGTTGTAGAAGCCTGTTTAGGCAACCTCACAAAATTACAGAAAGCTTACAAATATATTGGTAAGTAATAAATAAGTTTTTTAAGTTTCTAAGATATGTTACCTACCTTATCATGATATATAGAAAAACTTTAAAATATAAAATAATATTAAGAAATACAATTTTTAAACTAAAATTTATAAAACATTTAAAGAAATATAATTCTATGATATTTCATATTTTTTTTCGCTATCTTATAGATTTGACATTAACATTGACATTAACATATGTGTGTTCATCTTTAAATATTGTTCTCCCTTGACACTTGTTAATGTTTTCAGTGACCTGTACAATTATGCAGAAAAACGGAGCTGGATTGCATACTGCAAGTTCATGTTACTGGGATAATGCTACAGATGGAAGCTGCACAGTGCGCTGGGAAAATAAAACCATGTATTGTATTGTATCTGTTTTTGGATTGGCCCTTTAAATTTATCTTTTATCACAAAGTAAAAAATTCTTTTATTGGAAAAGAATAGTCTCTTGGGTATAGGATATAGTGTCACTTGCAGAAATAAAATATCCCATTATAAATTCGCTTGATGAGATTTGATATTTTGCACAAATCAGTAGAAATTATAGCTAGAAAAAGATCAAGCCATTGAATATAGTAAAGGCAAAAATTAATATGGTATGTGATACAAATAATAGGAGATATGTACACATAAAATATAGCACATTAAAATATATTTAATTGCTTTATATATCTTTTTTTATAAGAAATAATATTCTTTCTACCAATGCATTGTAATTTTTACAAACTAAGAATAAGAAAACATTAACATCCTTCCTAATTCTTGTGCTATTATTACACAAAATATGTATGTTATGTAAAATAAAGATGTATTTATAAAATATTTAGCGAATAATTTAAAATCATATAAAAAATGTTTCAATAAACATGTATAGCAAAATGATAGCTTTAGTAACATCGATGACGATTTATCAAGAGTTCATTATTCAATATTCGTCTCAATTCATTTATTGATAGAATGGCTTTTGGTTAATTTTTCTTAAATTAATTTATCGTACAGTAATCTTGAAACATTTTATAATTTCAAATTATTCATATTGTGTTCGTGAACACAACAAGCGATATTTCCAATCTAGTAATTGCATTGGTCAGAAATCAACAATCATATATGTACTAAATTAGGTATATATCGCTTACATTTGTTATGTAGTCAAAACCGTAAAAAAGAACGGAGAATGAAATGAAATAAATAAAGATAAATTAATTAATAAAGAGAGATGAAACTTCTTACAATTGATTGAACGTATGAACATGAAATTTGTGTAAATTCAATGTGATTTACAGTTCTGTAGTCTGAGGTAGATTTTGATGATCATATGGATAATCATCTATAGCACATGACTGTAAATCGTCATTTAAAAGAACTAGATTATCATTTAATCGGCTGCCAAATTCATCGTCGATATATAGATCTTCAATTGTACAGTTGCTATCTTGCAAACACTGCAATAAAAATCAAACAAATCAGATTTTATATCGCATAATAATTCATACATTAAATTCAAGATAATCTATCCTTACACTTTTGTGAGCGCGAATCTTTCTCAACCCTGGACTCTGCGTAAGTTTCAGGTTATTCAAACACGCGGGTAGAGAACGTCTTCGCAAGTCATTTAAATCGTGCGAATTACAAATCTCGCATCTTATGATATTGCTCGGTCGCAGCAAAATAGTATTTAGATCGACAGATTTTGCCGAAACTGATTTAAAATTTGATACATCAGCTTTGTGCGGAGTTGGTACACTATTTATATGAGCTCCTTTATCTAAATTCACTTTTTGCAAGTCCCCCAATTGGTGATTCTGCACTGATGCTTGAGATCCATTGGAATCCACTTCTTCTATGGTTTCGTAAATAAGTTTGTTGTGCATATTAGCATCGTACATATTACAATCTACAAAATTACAAACGACTTTTCCTTCGTTTTCTATTTCAATGCTACTTTCCGCAGTCACATAATCGTCCAAAAAATTTATGCCAGACGATTTTTCAATATTGATTTCTTGATTATTGCCATCACATTTCGTTTCATATAAGTCTTCAAATGCGCTTTCGTACTTTTGCGTATTGTCCGTATTAGTTTCGGAATTGCAATAATTTTGAAAATATGGAGCTGAATTGTCATATTGAGTTCCTGAGCGTACAATCTCAGTGGCACGATCGATGGCATCCTTTAACTCTTGTAATGGATTATCTGAAAACTTTGGAGCCGCCATGGACGTATTGTTGCTTTGTATGTCTTTTGATAATGATTCTTGAGCATCTTTGGTACGTTCATCTACTGTAATTGCAAATAATAATGTCAATTTATTGCGTCAATAACAAAATAATATGTAGAATATTTAAATTTATTAAAAAAGAAGAATAAGTATATTTTATTCAATATATTTTTATTCAATATACCTTTTTTTTCAAATGCATCCTTCATAATAAACGTATTGTTACTCTTTGTAGAAGCTGGTTTAGAATATTGCGCTTTACCATTGCCAGTATTACAGTTAACACTAGTAAATGGTTTTGGTGATAATGGCCAAGACTACAAAAACAATATTAATTAAATATAAAATCGATAATGTAAAAATGTACTTATGAGTTTTGAATAACGTATATGAAAATTGTAATAAGAAATAATGATAACTAAGATAATTAATATATATTGATGAACTAACATATTGGTGTATATTATTATTATTATTCTCACGTCCCATTCGTGATAAACAAATTAACTTTTCCTTTCGCCATAATATTGACTCGTAAAAGCTTTCTACATCAGGATGTAAAACTTGCCGTTGCGCTATTGCATCCTTAATATTTGTAGACATATTTGTGTATGTCGTCTGTTGCAAAATAAATATATATAAGTTAATATAAGTAGAAATAAACTATTTAGAAATATAATATAAACTTTATATTTTATATATATATATATATATATATATATATATATATATATATATATATATATATATATATATATATATAAAGTTGATTGTGTGTGTGTGTGTGTAAGGTTGATTAATATATATCATTAGTAATTTCTTTTCCGGAAGAAGTACCTTTGGTTTTAGTGTATATGATGGTTTCATAACATTTCCTTCGTATTCACCAGGTAATTTTTTATATTTCAGCTCCATATTTGTTGCGTGACTAGCTGGTTTACATAGTATATAGTCAGTATCCTTATTGACACGCATCGGATCTAAGAGACAGATGTATAGAAAATTATAAATTTAATTAAATTGTTAATTAAATTATCTATTAATTAAATTAAATAATTTTACTTATGCTTCAATATCATTTATATTAGGGAAAGAGAAATTATTAGATAGCCTGAATATTTAACATACTTGGAGTTGAAGAAGTGAACAATAATAATTCTACTTATGCTTCAATATCATTTATATTAGGGAAAGAGAAATTATTAGATAGCCTGAATATTTAACATACTTGGAGTTGAAGAAGTGAACAATAATAATTCTACTTATGCTTCAATATCATTTATATTAGGGAAAGAGAAATTATTAGATAGCCTGAATATTTAACATACTTGGAGTTGAAGAAGTGAACGATGGGTTATTTTCATTAAAAAAATGTTCCCTTCTAGTTGCATTCATTTCTTTCAGTCGTTTTATGTCAGATCGTGTAGTATTGTGCAAATCCTCGTCGGTTTCGAGTTCTTTCACGCCATTTAAATGCTTCGTATAAGTATTATAATTAGTAGTTTGTACTTCGCCAGTCGCCAGTCTCTCAGCATCATTGTCAGTTAAAAACATATTTTTCTTTTCAACATTATTTTCATCCAAGTCTCTATTGCATTGTACCATTGTAGATGTGAAGGATCGATTGGTAAACTTTTCCTCTGCCATATTGTCTAATTTATCAGTGGGTGATCTTCTTATCAACATTACATTTTCATAAGAAACTTTCGGGGTTGACGTGTGAATATTCTTAATATTATTGTCCCTTTCAAGCTTCAGTATTCCAGATTCATTTACATATGTGATTTCTGCTTCCTCGGACATCTTCAAACATGAAAACAATTGTGAACAATGGTATAATTCGAAAAGAAACGCAAAATTATCACTTAAGGAATCTCTGATCATTAAGAGCTGCGTGAATTCTAGAAAAATGTGTATTTAAAAAAAAATGTATGTATAATAAAACGTACAAGTAATCTATGAAGAGTTTTTCGTATTTTGTCCATATCCAAAGTTCTTTTCGCGGCATCAAGTTGTAGTCCATTCTCCAATAGTTTTTGAAGGCGCGATGGGAAATGATTGAAGTCCACGATGATACCGCGTTTCCGTGTTACGTATTGCAATTCTACATGTGGTCGGTTACACCCGCTCCATGGAATACGCGCTATACAATGGTAAAAATAAGTTATATTATTGGAAACTCGCCAAATTAATCTTTTATTTTTTTTTATAAATGATAAATAATAATATTAAACGTACGTGACATAATGATAAACTTCTTGTTCTTGTAATGATAAACGGATTATTGTAAGAGGAAGTTACAACGATTTACCTGTGCCTGTTTCCCAAAGTAACAACGATAAGCCATAAATGTCGCTTTTTGTAGAGAGATGGGACCCGTAAAAAAATTCCGGTGCTTGCCACTTGAAGATCTCGGTTCGCAAACATTTTTCATAGTCGCGTTGTACATTGTCCTGTAAAGAGATAAATGCAATAATTTCATTCATTTTTTCTTGTTTTCTATCTTTTCATACAATTCGCGATAAGATATTAATGCTGTTTTATATTAATATGTTATCCTGCATTATTTGCTATAGGAAGCAATCTGTCATATTTAATTGCGATTATGATTTACGCGAGTTCCGCGTTCCAAACTGCGCGCGCGATTAACATCGACACGGTACAGCGAATTTATTCAGAAACGAACATTTTGTCGAAAACAATGCCGGCCGTTTCCGTCGGTGAAGCACGGGTGTGTCACGGATATGACGCGATTCACTTCTTTACAGCCCATTCTGCCTGTGAAATTTTAAAATCAGCCGACGATTGACCTTAATGTCGCGAAGGTACGTTTACTATCGTACAACAAATGTGAATCATACAAAGACTAATAAAGTTCGAAGATTAATATTATTCAGTAATTATTTGCGGCATGAATTCATAAAGTATTATTAATTGTTAATGCAATGCAACTGATATTCGAAAAGTAGTTTATATATATGTATGTGTGAATAATATATATTGAAACAATAATATTGCTTTTGACTAGTAGACTTGTGTTGTAGAAATCGATAGAATCTAGTTTACGTACGTTTTCCAAACTAGCCAATTCCCATCCACCTAGCTTGATACCACCATTAGGTACAAGATAAACACAATGTGAGCTGATCGCTCCGTGGATGTATCCGCGCATATGGCAATACTTTAATGCGTCCGCCAATTTCATTCCTATTTGCGCGATATTTTGTATGCTCATTCGTTCGCCTTGCTCGTGTATTAAATTGTACAACGTACAGTTGACAGACTCAAAGATAGAGACAAGGCCGTGTTCATCCGTACGTGTTGTTGCCATCAACAGCAGTATGTTGGGATGCCGAATTTCTCTGGTAATATATAAATTTACGATTATTTTACGTTAAATTACAAATACATAATACTTTTAACAAATTTCAGTCTAAGAGATATAAGAGGTAAAAGTAATTTTAATGTAAAAACAATTTCAACACATTGACGGTATCTGTCTTAATGAAAGATATTGGTTTTTAATTAACAATGTATTTTATTCTATTGATGGAATAATATCGAAACATAGTAGATTAAAAATGTCTAAAAATCTAATTACAACAAGTGTTGTAACACAAAAAATGGGGAGTCACTGAAAAAGTCCAATGACTCTGCACTTTTTCGCGTGACACGATGAATATTCACAAATAAAGTGATCCTTACGTGAGAATTTCTATGTCCGCTTTTATCGCGCTCCGACACGCCGGATGAGTGTGTCTCTTCAGCGATACTCTCGTATTGTGCCACTCCGCAGAAACCAGCTCGAGATATCGGTCTTCTGTGCCTGCCACACATCCGATCTCGAAAATTTCCGAAGCTTCTACGTGCGACACGCCTGGTATAAACGTCGAGCATTTTCGCCGCTTCGAGTTATTGTGGCAGTTCCGATTGTTGTCCTTTTTCACGAGGTGTTCACCGTTCTGCTTGATAGGTTGATAAGAATAGAACTCCGCATCACTGACCAATTCGCTCGACGATCGGCGACGATCTATAAACTGCTGTAACGCCTTCCGGTAGGATTCACTGAAAAAGAAACATCGTTACTTCTTATCGTCCTCGAATCTCGAGAGATTTAGCCGGAAAATATTTTAACGAGCGAGACAGTTTGAGATTCATTGTAAATTATATCGTGTCGGTATAATTTTTGCACGATGTAATTACATCGGATTACTTTACTGGGAATTTGCTCGCTTAGATACACACGGTTCGCTCAAAGTATGAACAAATTTACCGGGAATTACCAAGTCATACCAAAAACATGATAATTCATAATTATTTATTCACGGTCACGCGACACTGCGGAAACGACGCAATCGCGATTTCAATTGAAGACGAACGAAGAAACGCACTGGTCACGATTATCTGCAGAACTGAGGAAATAGAATGCTCGTGACAGAAACTATCACAGCGTGAGCGCAGGTATCGCGTCGTGCTGATTATGCAAACGATAAGTTTCAGGCACGCCGATAGTTACGTCATAAATGGGATACTGCACAAATGTCTACCAGCAGAATTGTATTTTTGGAATATAAGGAAAATCAGTTTTACACAACGATGTCGTGACTTTTAAATTATGAAAACAGCTTTGTTATAATTAAATTTGACTTGGCATGTCTTTTTACATACTTAAAGTAAATTTTAAACATTTTAATATCAAAGACTTACAAAATCCGAACAGCACAAAAGTTTAGAATATTTCTCAGAGATATTCTAGATTTCTAAAACCCAGATAGACAGAAATACTGTACACAATATACAAGCATTGCTACAATAATTCTGGATTAATTGCGTTCTTTTTCTAGCTAAATAGGCAGCATTTTCATAACATTAAAATACTGCTGCAATTTTCATGGTATCAAATGACTTCTTTTATAAACTGATGAAATTTTTGCTGTATGAAGATGCATTGTTGCATATTTATGCTGATCACTAAATAAATAACAAGCTGAAATATATTTATTTGGAAAATAGGATATCTTTTAGACATTTATATTACATAGGAGAGAATCATGAACTGGTAGTGGTTATTGAAATATCAAACAAAAGCTAACAAGATTGAACTAATTAAGAAAATGCAATTCAATATATAATAAATCTTTAGAATAAATATATAATAAATATCAATATATAATAAATCTTCAGAATAAAATATTTTTGAAATATTTAAAATTAGTCAAATAAATTTGTCATCAACTATTTTTTGTTGGAATACCTTGTAGTTTGTGTAATAAATTCATACCTCATGGAGTAAGGATTCGTAAGAGTCATCATTTTCAGTCAAGAATTCAGGATTTTTTGTAGATACGTTCTAATTTTTAGCGTTTTTCGAAGATTTCTGCGCAATTGACGAACGAATGTCGATTCGATCAGCGCTCACGAAGCAAATAAAGCTGTTTCTCACGCAAAGTGTTAAGTTCTGCAAATATTTGCAATATTCTGAAAAGATCAATACTGCTTCATAAATATTTTATATAATAAGAAAGAGAAAATATAGAAGAACCTGACGATAGGATGATACTTATAAATACCTCCGTAAGTTTTAACGAATTAAAATATAGAATTCGTGTTCTTTCCAATTACTTTATACACTTTGCTTATACGACCTAACCTATTTATCAAAGTAAACATCAGAATATATCATCGTCAAGTAATTATCATATTATCAAATAGAGATCGCTCTTTTTCGAGTTCGGAGTCGTGATTGGCCGCATTCAAATCGTTTGGTTTTTCTCGGCACCTCCAAGGCGAGGCGCTATCAACGCCAGGAAACGCGCGCGGGAAACTTTTGGCGCTAAATAGTAAAATTCAGCTAACTAATTGCAATAAGCCGTAATATCGACAAATTGCTCACTAAAACTTCATGATTGACACTCGCGATTGATCCAACAGCGGTCTGACACTCACGAATCCGGGCATGTCGATTTTAAGGTCAATTGCTTAACTTAAGTTTGAATAATGTATATCGACGAATAATGCAATTGGAGCAACGCTAACGCTATGTGGAGCGTCTTAGATACATTCGCACGAATCACGATCGTTGGTCGGTACGATCGAATTCGTGCATCTGGCTCGCGGAAGTCGCGGCGCGTATGTGTCTACAACGCGATAATCCAGTGATAATCCGGTTTGAACACGTTTGCCGAGGTAAAGAGACGTGGATATACCCGTCGTGATTTACATACATGCGAATAAGACGATCGAATCGACAAACGACGCCGACTGTTAACGAGTCTCAGTGCATCATCTATGCTGCACTCCGAGAGTATCTTTGAGGTTAGTAGCATTTAAAGTCATTTTAACGTATTAAAGATCGCGAGTGATCGTTATTTGTGTGTAATTCAACCCAATATCTCCAAACTTCCGTTGCAGTTGTTATGTCTCACATCGGCGAGTGAGTGAAGTTAGCAAGAACAGCACGACGATTGCGATTCTCGAAGTACTCTGTGCATCGTCTTCAAAGCTAATTTCATATCGCACTTGCGATCGGCTATCTTTGAAGACAGCCGTTTGGGCATCGAGCTCCCGAAATTCGCGGCTTTACGAGGGTGAATAGAGTTGAAAAGCGTGAGTAAACATTAACTGTGCAATCTATTCTAAATCCGCTTCATGGAAATCTATATGGGAAAGCGAATTTACATTGTCATTGCTCGTATTCATAAACAATTCAATGATGCTCAACTGCAGTGTATAGCACAAGGGGGTGTATAAAACGGTGTAGATGCAATAAAGTTGGGAGCACAACAAACTATCAAACATTGAGTTATTACCGACGGACTTATATGCAATAATAGTAATAAAAATATAATCAAGAACGCGCTAAAAATAATAATACTAATAATAATAATATAATTACCAGACAAGTCCATATACACAGTAATGAGTGTTCTCAATTTAGACAGTTTGATGGATTTTATTGTGTTTAAACCGTTTTGCAACCTACTGTACACGAATTTCGACGCATCGGGATCGATCACGCTGTATTCATCAGACAGAATTCGAATTCGTGGTTGATTGCGTTTACATTCGATTTCACGCATGAAATGCATCAGGAGCGAGCATTATTTTCGTACTTTGATTCTCAAAAATTCTTTTTTCGGTCATTTCGTCTTGCGAATGCACATATTCGTGAGTGAATGAAGTTTGCTGCAGGTAACGCGATTCCTGCGATTATCGGTCCGGCCATTTTCTATTTGAAATTTTACACTTCCGCCTCTTAGAATTTCTTAACATGTCGGAACGTGAAATATCTGAACGGACGCTATTGTGTTTGTGTGGAACACGAAAACCGATTAAATAAATATGATTAATACGAATAAATAAATGTGATTAATACGAACCGATTAAATAAATGTGATTAATATGAATTGTATTAATACGAAATGTGATTATAACGAATTGTAAATTGTTCTGCGAAAAATTACGCCAGGATGATCGCGTAAGTACATTTCCATGTACGAAGCATTCGGGAAATGCTTATTGTATCGGAAAGATGGACTTAGTTAAACGGGCTTGGATTTATAGAGTTAAACTCGATCGCTGATCCGCGTCAAAAAATCCGCGTACATTTTTGCAAGTGCCGTGTAATATAACTATAATCCTAATAGATTAGTTAAATGCGAGATTAGTAAACAAAATGTAGTGTAATATAATAAGAAATATGTAGTAAGAATGGATAAACAATTAATAAATAATGGACAATTTCAGTGCAAAAGGAATAATCTCTTTGAGGAAAAAACTTCTACTATAAGAAGAACGTCTGGATGTATCTGCTGGGAAAGGAATGTCTGGATACACATTTGCTGGAAAAGGAAAGAAAATACCTGTTGGAAAAGGAACATCTCAATATGCTGTAAGATAAGATGCAACTCATCGATGAAGGGTGAGTCAATTTAACATGTTTATGCTTTAGGTGAACCAATAAGTTTGTTAATGTACATTGTTCAGATTAATTAGGAGATTGTATGGAATGAACAATTCTGCTGAATAATGCTACTATAGGTAAAGTGATGTACTATAGGTCGAGTGAAATGAAGGATAAACAGCTAAGATATAAATGTACTTATAAAATATGAATAAATGCTGAAGTATTTAATATTTCAGATATTTATACTTCCTGACAGATATCTGAAGAGAGGATCTCCTAATTATTCTGAATAATGCAATATAGAAGAAAATTCGAGGAGTGTGTTCCCTGAAAAAGCTTCGTGTACGAAGTTAAAGTGTTAACAGGATTAATTATTAACAAAAGCATTACTTTATATTAAGAGTGATGCAGTTTATTTTAATAGAACTTCGATAAACTTGAACAGGGATCTACTCCTAGGAATTAAATCACTATCATCTTTTTGGCTCTCGAACGATGAAACCATTTCGTCGTTATTGTGTTTAAATTAAAGTTATTGAAATTATCGCTACATGCAAATTATAGTGTGAGTCAAATTGTAAATTTCCATGCAAACGATAACTGTAAGCGATGTGCATTATGATAAGCGATAAGGACGTGAATATTCACTTACTCGGCAATACACTGCGGCATCGACGTAGTCCATATTTGATTTTCCGACTGCACAGTAGTATTTCTGAAAAGAATAACAATATTCTTTATTTCTATTTCTTTATTCTTTATTTCTTTCGTATACAAACACTTTGGACAATTGCAGGCAGTTTTTTATCCTTTTTGGTTGTATTTTTTAATATTAAAATATTAATATATTAAAATTATTTTAATATTTTTTATTGCTTTCTCTTTTAATTTTTTCGGTTCACAAAAGACACTTTCTTTTTTCTCTCAGCGAATAAATGATCTACTTTCAGATTTGCTCTAATTCTATTGTTAATCAAAAAATGCATTTTTTTATGAAATTTTCTATAAGTATCCACTAATTAATTTCACTTGAAATTCCTTTCGGAATTATTTCTGAGTTGTACAAAACGTAATTGATAAATCTTAGAGAGCACAACGAATAAAAAAAGTCTCTGATGTTAGTAGGACGATCCGCGCGAGATGGAAGGTAGAACAAAGAACTGCAAACATTGCCGAGATACAATAACTACGTGGCAACTGTTGCGAGACCACGAAATTGATCGTATTCAAGAACTTATACTTTCTCTGACAATTCGTTCGCTACGGATCACGGAATAGCACGACTATTACTTCGCGATCAAATTATTTCAGATCTCGTTAACGCGATTCTTTCTTCCCGTTTCGCTTTTCCTGTCATACTTTGCCAGCATCAGTTTTCTAGAATCGTGATTTGTGACTATTGCTACGATGTACATTTTCTAGAACAGGATATATTATTAATAATGTACAGGATAATTCTCTCTATTCTTTTTTTCTATCTATATATATCGTAAAATATAGATTATCATATAATATTATAATTGAGAGAGAATTTGGATAAGAGTCTTTTTGACGAATTCGAGACTTGTATTAAAAAACAAACATAGCGAGTGAACACTACATATTACAAGTGTTGCGACTTTGTAACTAACCATAAGCGTTTTTTAATCTTGAGATCCTTGATTAACTTTGGAAACTAAATGAAAAACAGTAAACTTATCCTGTCACAAATATAGTGTCCATATTTCTATTTCATTGTAACGTCAAGGTCAAGAATACTACCTCGTGCTTCAAACCAATGACATTGTATTCTTATTCTCAGACGAGAGACTAGAAATACTTGATTAATATTATCGGTACTCAGGTGTCTCGAATGGCACATCAGAGAAGTACACGATTTTGCAACGCATTGTATACGTCCGTTATCTACAGTCGCTTTACAGTACGTTTTTACTGCGTGCGACCGAAGCCGACAAGTTTTGCATCGTAAATCGGCTTTCGCCGGGAAAATGCAGGGGAATTCTGTCGACGATTTTCTCTTCGCGAGAGAGGAAGGAAGGTCGGATCGTTTTTCGCGCGTCATAGATTTTAGACCGGCGAAATAGTGCGTAGTTGTGTTAACACAACTACGCACTATTTCGCCGGTCACGTTACTGAAACATCCGATTACTTCACGAGAAAGACATTCGCGTATCTTAGCAACCAAAACTCGTCGATAACTCTAAAGTTCACAGGTGACTCGCAAACTGGCTGTTTCGCACGATTTATTAGCATAACGCACTTTCGATGCGACGATTCTGCGGCGAAACACAGAAAACGCGTTAAAGCAGTGAGAGGAACCGTACGAAGCGCGTAACCGGTGCTTCAACTTGACGAGCTCGCGAGTACCCTTAATGAGATTTAAGAGACGCTAATTAGAGAAGGAAGTGCCAGTCACACGCATACACGCAGCGAAACGCGGCGCGCTCGATTTTTCGATTCATTTGCATGCCAAGTAACTGATCGCGCAGCTTTTTCTCGGACATCCATTCCCATACACGGGACTGCAAAACAAGAAAGCATCGCTATGCACATTAGTATGCATAATAAACATCCCAGTTATGTGCTGGCTAAACGAGTACTGACCTGACCTATCTCGGTGCGTCCGTGTAGCACTTGTCATTAAAGATTATCAATGATTATCGGGCAAAGATCAAAATCAAGAATGAAAACCTTGACATAAAATGTTGCGTATTACATATACATGGAAAAAACAATTCTGTTGGTGCAACCGAATTTTCGATTGCTCAGGGATCAGACTCGGGTCAGAAAACTCGGTTATAGGAACAGAAAAATCCTTTATGAGGCTTCTGTATAGTCAATTGTTCTCAGTTGTCTTAACCGAGTTCTAATATCGTTGAATGTTCAGACGAATATTTCAGGTTGCGACAACAGAAATATTAGTTTTCATAACAGAGATATCGCTTCTGATCATCTAATTTTCAGTTAGTTCCTACTTGGTTGCACCAATTACATTTTTTTTTGCGTGTATCGTTGAGATATTCCATTCGATGGAAATGTGAAACGGTTAATCTTGGGAATACGAAAAATAAGATTAATTAGATAATAAAATCTGCGCCATGTGTTACTTGGCTTACACTCCAGCCGATATTTCGCAATTTTGTAGAGACAGTAAACATTTGTAATTGATTTTTGCAAAAAGAAACTCGCGTGATTCCGAATCTGCGAAATAACTTGCTGACAAAATTAAGAACGGTTGTCGCGGCTCAAGGAGAATCAAAATTCCGTAATGCCAACGTTCGCGGAGAATGTCACAAAGAACTTTGACTCTCTCCGTTGCCTTCGTTCGCGGGACAATGGTCGTTCATTCGTCGCCGGCGCAGGACGCAGCTTTAAATACCCGTGCAATTTCATAGCGGCGACTAAGCACGGTAACTGCACAATCTCGCGGCCCAACTAGAGGATAATAGCAGTCATTATACTGCGGAGATACACAACGAGTTGTCGGTGTCTAGTTAACGGTACGGCGCGATGCCCAAACCGCGGGGGGCCCGCAGCGCCATTCTTTTGGCCGTAATTAGCCCGTGTCTTTCATACGCTTGAACTTTTCGGTACATTTTCTCGGAATGGAAAGTAAGTCGAGATCGCGGAGAAACTCGGAAGCAGATCGCGAAGTGTCTCTCTCTTTCTCTCTCTCTCCTGCTCTTCCGCTTAGATTTTATTTAGATTTTATTTAGATCGAGCTCGATACGTTTCTCCCTCTTTACGTAGGTGCAAACATGCTTGTACTAGTCAGAGTGAGTCGCCGATATCATTTAATCATTATGTAATTCCGCGATTGAGATGTCTATCGGAATGCATTTTCTCCGCTTGATATCGGTCGTGAATATCGAGAGCCAGTCGAGATAACGATTGGTTACGATTCATTTCGCTGCATTCCTCGAAGAGGTATTTACGGAACTCGCTTCGACACGGAATAGATGCAGGCTGAGCGATTTTTTATTAGCTGAGCAACTTTCCGAATATCAAAAAATCACCCTACGAGGAAAGAGCTATTTCGACAAATCGTTATACTCGTCGATTCGTTATATTTCGTCAACTGGATTATAATTTCTGACACTATTATCAGTCTGTTTGATACGAACGTCGACGACCTTCACCTTACGACGAGAGTTACTGTGTTGTGTCATGCTGTTGGTCTCGATACAAATTTGTTCGTTTTCTTAAGCTTCTAACCGTGTTTGGATTCTTTTCGACTCAAGCGTCCTTAAAAATTTGGTCAACACCATTTCTCTCGTAGTATATTATAATAAATTATAATAAATATATTATCATTAATCTTTGAATTGTGTTCAAATGCATTAAAGATAAAAGTCAAAAGATGGCATCTATATGTTGACAATACTTTAATGTCATGAGAATTTTCTAAGGATGCTCGAATAAAAAAAAAACTTGAACATAGTCTCAGAAGGTTAAATCACAATTGTTATCCGTCACGTTACTGTAAATTGGCAAAGTGAATTTTACTAGAGTGCTGCGATATAACATCATTCATGTGCATTTTGATAATATGCATCTTGGGCCGCACTCGTGTTAAAATGATCACATTCATCCTGTGCAACACTAATTCCGCTCTATATACAAACACTGCTATCAAATGAAGACGCGCGATTTTGGCAAATTATTATTAGTTCACCGATTAAAGACTAGACACGCAAGTGCTGAGAATAAATTGTGGACTACAGTTTTGATCGAGATAACAGTTTTGCAATTTTACAAAAATAAATTGAAATACAATCTATAAACGAAAAAATCAGACTATATGATTTAAAAATCTGTTATTGAAGTATCATATGGGAGTAAAAACCAGAGAAGATAAATAACGGTATCATAAGTAAACGAAGTTGCAAAGACGTCGAGGAAAATATAAGTGACTATTGAAAGTGCGAAATATTTTTCAGCAATTTTTCTTAGCACTTTTATTTTGTATTTCTAGAAAATAATAAACAAGAACTCACGAGATACGCTTGATAATCTTCCTGAATCCCATGATGGATGTAATCGTTGGCATTACGACGCGAACTTCCGACGAGCTGACGACGTCGACGAACACTGCGTGAACGCGACGCGATTCGCTGTCTCTTTACGACTGCGTTGCGAAACGTTGGTAGTTGACTCCGGCGCGCGCGGACGATTCCTCGGTTCTGACAGTTCTGATGGCAAGCGGCGATCTAGGCACTGCTCATTCACCGATAGTTCCCTCTCCGTTTCTTCTTTCCCCCTCGATCAGCTGATTAATCTCACTGTGCGGGAAACAGGAATCGGTGTCTGCAGGGCTATTAAAGACAGGAGATTATTGAAGCACAATTTATTCAGAATTATTCGCGTACTTCTCTCTCTCTTTTTCTCTCTCTGTTGATTAGTATAAAACGTATTAAATCAAATTTATATCGTAAATAAGACGTAAAAATCTTATGAAACTTGTCCTTAAAAATGTTTTCTAAACATTTATAAAAATTTGGCTTAAAAGTACACGAAAATCATGAGAAAATCTTCTACGTAATATTACAATTTGTAATTTTTTTACAAAAAATTTCAAATATTTAAAAAATATTCAAATATTTTATAGGATCAAGTGGGTGATGAAATACAATTTGAGATTGGTGCTGTTAATGTGCATATAATATAAGAAATAAAATGATATAACATCTCGCTCAGCTGCTTTGAACCAAACCACTCTATGGTCGACTATCGACTGACTGACTGAGCTGTTCCGCAGGTAGCACACACACGTTTTAGAAATGTTTTATAAACGTTAGAACCAAACATTTCATAACTGTTTCGAAAACATTTTATAACGTTTCTGAAACGTTTCTCATGAATAAAAATGTCCACTCAATAAACGTTAGGTGAAACGTTATTTTTGGGAAAAAAATCGTTGAAGAAACGTTTTATAAACGTTTCATAAATAAGGTTTCAGAAAGGTTCTTGTTAAAACGTCTCTTATTGGTGCTTTACCGTTCTGAAACTATAGATACGTTTAAGAAACGTTTCTGATACGTGTATGTGTTATCTGGGTCTTGACTGTTTTATATATTTTCGATATTGCTAATCGGCATCAAATCATAGGCAGTATGATTCCGATGGTCGCTTCCGACATTATCGCGATCAAGGAAAAGTCCTCTCTTAAGTTTTTCAGCGCTCTAGCGAACTCGCCGCCGCACATCAGTGGCACCGACAATTACGCCTGTCTCATCCGTAGCTTTCCACGCGTATATTCACATACCACTCTTCGAGTTACCTCTACTACAATATATTAAATGAGAGTATACCTACTGATTTATTTTTATTATTCTCATTTATTTTTATTATCCTCGGTTATGATATATGCGATCGTAATTTTCATGCACTTGTACCGTTCTTGCGGTAATTTGCAGTCATCTAAAAACTGAATTCCTAGACGGCAATTGCGCAACTCGTCGTTTCTGAAACTAGCGGTCTTTGTGCGGAATCTTGCTGCGTAACGAAGTATTCTGATATCGCGTCTAAGGACTGCGCCATCGTGGCACGCCTTTTTTTCGTCGGCTTCCTTCATGAGAGCACCGGTACCGACACAATCGGTGCGATGACTGATAACGCACAATTACGACGTGCAGTCGGCAGTACAAACGTAGGTTTAGGTCACCGTGCGTGGGACGGGTTGTATTTCGTGACTTGAGAGTAAGGACACAACGTGATGTCAACCAGTTTTATCTCCACGATATAATTACATCTATACACGTGTATCTCGAGTTTGCTCATACGATCTTGTCGTAGCTTACGAACTCTGTGTATTTGACGGAAAAGCTTATTAGGAAATAGGTAACAGTATTATCATTTGTGATATTTTTCACTGAATATCCCGCTTGTTTTCAAGGATAATTGCGTTAATTTTTTTCATAGTGAGTTCTTATTTATTAGTTTTACTTTCGTATTATAGTTTATGATGCTTAATGTATGTAATTCTAAAATTATTTAGCTTTGATTTTTAGCAATATTTAGACAGAGTGTTCTAGAAGTTTTTGTCTAAATTACATACATTAAGAGTCAACCTACAAATAATTACTGTTTTAATATTCGGAAGAAAACTAATATAACAAGAACTTATTTTTTACTTTATTCATATAATGAATCATTTTTCAATGCTAATGTTTTTCTAATCATTTTTCTAATCATTTTTTAAATCATTTTTCAGTGCTAATGTTTTTTCTATATAATAAACTGAATTTATCTCAAGGAGAATCGATAATCTTTATTTGATTTCATAGAAGATATTAAAAAATACGCAAGTTCCGAATCATTGAGAGTTTCTTTTGGGCAAGGCGAATAGAGTCATAAAAAAAACATTTAATCATGAAAGTTTTTGTGCAAGTAATTTACCAATAATTACATGAAAAACTAAAAATCCTTTAATATTTAAAACATATAGCATTGAAAAAATTATAGAAGATAATTTTTTGTTAAGATATACCTTTTAATATACTATATCAGAATGCAAATACTTTCGCTTTTTATCGCTAGCCCATTAATTGTTTCACATATATTAAGATTCAACGAATTGTATTAATATCCTTATAAGTTTGGTACTCGATAAAAAGTACTTGCACATGCTTTAGTATATTGGAATATATAAATAAGAGTATAAGAACAGGGAACTTTAATACGATCAAATGATCATCGATGTTATCACAATTGTAGGTGTTATAGGATTTATACAATATCTCCTAGATTTTTGCGTTCCTTTATATGGTGATTGTTCCTTCAAGGTGCTTTCATCTCTTGTTTCACGCAAAATTTAAATGCTTCCCAACCCTCGTTGCGTTGTTGAGACTAAAAGGAAATACAATTTTTGTATTAATCAATTATATTATATTATATAAATATATTATTCAATTATATTATTCAAATATATTATTCAATTATATTATTATAATATTTTTAGGGTATCTTGCAAATTGTTCAAAAATAACGAGGCATCTAGTGTTGTAAGCCTGCAAGATGGCAACTATTCGTACACTTCTACTTTCAATCGTATAGCTCGTAGGCGTCGTACGAAATACGCTTCACGTGTGTGTAGGTTCTTTTCTGAAAGATATTCATATGAATTTATAATGCCTTACTTTGAAACCCCTGTGCAATCGATCCTTCATAATCGCGATGAATTCCTTGTAAGAGAGTTGGCCGTCTCCATCTTCGTCGAACAGTGCAAAGACTGTATCGATTATATGTGTCGAGAGCACCATTCCCGTACATATTTTTACAGCTCGTTGAAACTCATCTGGAAGTAGAAGAGATTAATTGACAAAGTTTAACATATGAAACAATGCATATTAGGGAAAAATACAATTTTAAGAAGAAAGATTTATAACACTGGCTTCAAGATTCTAAATTGAATTGAAGATTCTAAATTAATTTTTACCTTTGGATATGGGATGGTCGGCCAATGTATACGTTCGCATCGCTATGGAAAAATCATCCAGATTATTCAGAAATTGGTAGAAGCGACGAAATTCCTCAAACGTGATACCAATATTCAATTCCGCTCTGTCCATCATTCTATCCAAGTATTTATCATATCTGTGTACACACACACATAATTTTATTGATTGACTTATTTTATATAATTCCTACAAATTAGAAATTTGGTAATAGGTGTATCAACAGAATATTTAACTTAAGAAACAAATTTCATTAATTTTTCATTAAAGTCGTTTTACGACTGTTACTTTTTACAAATCGTTCGTGTACAATTACTCAACTTACTCGTCGGGTTCAAGGTACGTGTATCTTAACAAAATTTTGGCGAAATCCAATTCGTTGATCGTTTCAAGACCTTTGCTGAATTCGTGATATTCCAACTCCAATATTTCGTGCTGTAGGTTCTCCATGAAGCGTTTAAAATCTTCGTATTTTAACTCGTTGGTGCCGTCTTTGCCGAAGAAGTGTGTCATCAAGGTTGTGTCCACAGCATGACGTCGTTGCAAGCCCTGCATCATATAAAAGATAAAATATTAATTGAACGCCACTTCTTCATCTATTTGTCATATTCGTATCGTACAAAATTTTCACTAAAGAAACGTTATTACTGGTCATGTTTGTCAGGTCTCGATTGATAAGATCTTGTCAGTGATTCACGTTTACTCTACAATTTGCTGGTATCAGTCGTTTCTTCAGACAAGAAAATAATATTAAATTAACAACGTCATACTTGATCGTCGTCGATGAATTGGCCCTGAATCTCTTCTGGTGTTTTCTGGCGTTCCTGCAGTTGTTCCAATTCCTCTTTGGTCTCACATCCATGGCGACCTCTCCACGCGTGACTAAACACTTTCTCCATCTGTATCAAAGATGAAGACGTGAGAGAACGGTTGCTATCACGACAGGTCGACGGTGTTGCTTCAATAAATCCTTTACGAACGGACATACGCGTGTCAAAGTTACACGTTACATAAAGGTAAAGTGACGGCAATGATTCAGCGCCCAGCGTTAACGCATCTGAAATAAGTGGCAGATAGTGTTAGTGCAGTGATTATCAGTACGTTAGGACGCAGGTGGTTTCGACGGAGCCGGCAAGCTGCATGTTAATTGCGTATTATTGTGTGCGAGCGTCGATGAAGGCGAGACAGACGGCGAAGCGAATGAGACGGTTGACACTTAGTTCTTATTGATACACAAAGTGCACATCCACATAGAGACTATATTGCTGATAACGTAGATTGTAACGCCAATGCATTTGTTTGCCGACTAGATGAACAAGCAATTGCGATGTTGCAACATTTTCCTGTTGTTAGTTCTCTAGCCCTGTGTCAGTTTCTATTTTTTTAATCTTGCCTTTACGAATGTTAATAATTTTCCATGTCGTAAGAGACCTGTTGCATATTAGACACAATAGATATATCGATTTACGACAATTCATGTGTATATAGACTTACGTAAGATTTAGAGACGTTTTCGTTTGTCTTAGCCGGGCGAGCTTCGCGAAGTTTTGGTTTGCCTAGAACGTCTTCGCTCGGAGCAATTATGGAACGTAACTAATTAAAAAAAAAAATAAAATAGAAAAGAGAATTAGCTTCAGGAAGATTAATGTTTGCACGTACATCCGTAATTATAAAGACAGATGATTATGTTAGAC